ATCTATCTATCTATCTATCTATCTATCTATCTATCTATCTATCTATCTCTCTATCTATCTATCTATCGAAAAAGTAGAGACTATATGTACCTTTCTGAATTTCTTCCTCTGTCTCTGGTATAACTTCAATTGTACGATTGACTCTTTCTTCGGAAGATCTATCGCCACCATCATCAATTATAACGGAGTCCAAAGTATTTTGTGGTTGTTGCAAAACTTCCAATGGTAATTCCGTTACAGTAACTGTGGGTATATCAGTGATATCAGGCAAACTAAAATGAGAAGATTGAATAAAATATATCTATTAAAATTTATGAAAAAATTAAGAATAAGTAGGAGAGGAGAAAGGGACTTTATTTAACATATTAAAAAGTAACGGTTCTTTTTTTTTATAATTCGAAAATTCTATATTTTATTCCGAAAAATAGTTAAAATTTTTCGTTTGAAATTAGTAAAGGAATCTACGAATTTAATGTTTGTATTTATGGACTTTTAAATATATTTCTCTGTAAATTAATAATAATACGATTAAAATGTTTACCTCATAAACATGGTAGAAATGGCTAAAATTTGCGAAAACCATATAATCCAAAAGAAAATCAAAAACATCGTTAAATTTGTTTTGATTTTCTTAAATTCACAACTTATGAAATTTGTCAATATTTGTATCAACATTTTGGCACAATTAAACTTCTTAACGTTTGTTGTATGTAAGAAATTTGTAACTAAATTATAAAAACAGAAACCAAAAATTAACAATATTTGTTATAGTTTTCAGAACCAATTTGAAACACTTCACACTAGTAAATAGAGCAAACGCAGGTGAAGTCTAAAACTGAATACTCCCGCTTACTGAAAGCCACGTCAGGTATTTTTTTTGTTGTATTGTTTTTTATTTAAAATTTAATTTTTTAATTGTTGTTGGCGCTGCTGAGTTGTTGATAAGTCATGGAAAGTTGTATATTAAAATGAAAATGTTTAACATTTAAATGCTATTTAACAAATTAAGGTACTAAAACTTTTTTGTTTAAATTTCATATCAGTGTCAAAGAGCTCTATACCACCTGTTGCTGTTACAAAAAATAACTGATGTATTGGCTGCTGCCTGTTTTTTTCTCCTAATAAAAGCAAAAAATCTTGTAAATAGTATAAAGTTAAAAAATAAATACTTGTACTAAAAGAAAACTAAACAAAACAAAAAAATTTCTTTTGATAACTTTTTTGCTATATATTATTGTCGCCACAGTAAAGTGTTGTTTAGTAAATTAACAATTTTGTTTGTAAATACAGATGTTTAAGCTAAATATTACCTCTTTTTGGCCTTTAACAAAACATTTTTGTATTTTTGTTTTATTTCTCATTATTTCAGCACACTAGTACACGTAAAAATTGTTTTGTGTTATAACAAATAAAACAGATATAATAATAAGAAAAAAAACATAAAAAATAAAATGTAGGTAATATAGTGGCATTTTACTCGTGCATATCGACAACTTCAGAAATGTAATAAAAACATGTTTATAGATAAAATACAATATTGTTTTCGGGTAGTTTTTAAAGTTACGAGGGTGGCATTTAAAATGATTACAGGTAATTTCATATTTTAACGATTTTAACCAAATGAATACGAGGAAAGCCTTCAGTTGCAGACTGAAATTCGAGTAAGTAAGTAAGTAAGTAAGTAGTAAGTAAGTAAGTAAGTAAGTAAGTAAGTAAGTAAGTAAGTAAGTAAGTAAGTAGTAAGTAAGTAAGTAAGTAAGTAAGTAAGTAAGTAAGTAAGTGTAAGTAAGTAAGTAAATAAGTAAGTAAGTAAGTAAGTAAGTAAGTAAGTAAGTAAGTAAGTAGTAAGTAAGTAAGTAAGTAAGTATAGTAAGTAAGTAAGTAGTAAGTAAGTAAGTAAGTAAGTAAGTAAGTAAGTAAGTAAGTAAGTAAGTAAGTAAGTGTAAGTAAGTAAGTAAGTAAGTAAGTAAGTAAGTAAGTAAGTAAGTAAGTAAGTAAGTAAGTAAGTAAGTAAGTAAGTAAGTAAGTAAGTAAGTAAGTAAGTAAGTAAGTAAGTAAGTAAGTAAGTAAGTAAGTAAGTAAGTAAGTAAGTAAGTAAGTAAGTAAGTAAGTAAGTAAGTAAGTAAGTAAGTAAGTAAGTAAGTAAGTAGTAAGTAAGTAAGTAAGTAAGTAAGTAAGTAAGTAAGTAAGTAAGTAAGTAAGTAAGTAAGTAAGTAAGTAAGTAAGTAAGTAAGTAAGTAAGTAAGTAAGTAAGTAAGTAAGTAAGTTCATTTTACAATAAACGTATTTTATTTACATGTCGCTTAACAATACGACCATAGCAAAAATGTTGGGTTCATCGAAATTTTATTCAAAATTCTGGAAAAGTTTCTGGGTTTTTTGGTATTATGCTTCAGAAAATTTATTTCAATTAACATACGCACAACAGTAAATCGGTTTTGATATCTATTAGGATCTAAAATACGTACTTTACAATATAAACATAAAGCCACCTAAATAACATTTCTTTTTGACCCTCGTAGGGTCCTTAAAATGATAATATTTTATATTAATATATTAATATTTTATATTATGCATTCAATCATTCGTAAAACACCCACAAAAGAATTTAGTAGTTTTCAATTATTTCTCTACTTTTATCTATTTTTAGTTTCTTTCTTCAATTCTTTTGTTTATTTTTGATTTCATTTAAAAATTTTTATTTTGGTAAACAAGTAAACAAATAATTGTGATAATGACACATTTGGTATTTGTTGTTGTTATTTGTTAACAAAAACATTTTATTTATGCATGTTTAAAATTAACCATTTATCACTAAAAGAAACCTTGTCATAATTACTATTTAACCATTTCTTTTACTTTAATATCAACACATTGTTTTAAAAAATGTATGTGTTTTTGAAATCTTAAAATAAATGTGCACATTTTTTTTATCAATTGTTGCTAAAACTCTTTCATTATAGGAATAATTTTCTTAAAAATGTTTTTCTATTCTGTTGGAATTTCAAAAGATTACTACAAGAGTAGTTTTAATATTTATTGAAGAATATTTTGAAGTTTAAAAACCATTCTCTAAGAATGGTGCCAAGATGTTTACATATGTAATAGATAACAGCTGTTGTTTTGTAAATACATACATATATATTGAATCAGTAAAAGAACTTGCTTAATTGCACTAGGTTACAAAGATATAAGAGTGAATTTTTTAGGTACGTGACAAATGTTAGATTTTCTTTAAAACTTTAATGCATCTGAATATTTTCCATAACATTTTTAAATAAAAATTTCATTTGCTTTGTAATATTTCATTATTGAAATTGGTTCCTAATGGTTTATTATTTATTCAGATAAAAACATTGAATTGAATGTGACTGTTATTTAACAACATTTTATACTTCTTGACAGTTTTGCAAAGCTTTATGTAAAATGTTTCTATAATTATTAAAATATGTTAAAAAAATTAAATTTTCCATATACATTTTACAATATTTTTTGTTTGTTCCTGGGAAAAATTTAAGAACTTGTTCAAAAAATCTAGTTCTAAAACGAGACTAAAAAGAATCACTTCAGTTTCTTAAACAATAATCTTGAAACTAGTGAAGTCGCAATTACTTCTGGAATCAGTTCCTCGGTACATTGTTGAGGTTCCAAAATACTTTTTAAGAATTTTCAAAGATCTAGGTCGTTGACATTAGTTTTACATTGGTACTAAGCTAGATCAATGGAACGTATACTAGTGCTGAAACAACTTCTTGGAATTAAACAGATCCCTAACTCAATTGTACCGGGAAAATAGAATATTAGCTGCTAGTTTAGTGATCCTGTCCAAAGAAATGTTTTAACGTATAATAGTGTCGGTAGAATGACCATGAGTTTTAGGAAAGTTATACATAACAAGTATAATTATAGTAATCAGGGCAAGGATTTCTATTCAAATGCATGTTTGTAGCCAGTAACTTACTTACTTACTTACTTACTTACTCACTTACTTACTCCTTACTTACTTACTTACTTACTTACTTACTTACTTACTTACTACTTACTTACTTACTACTTACTTACTTACTTACTTACTTACTCTTACTTACTTACTTACTTACTTACTTACTTACTTACTTCTTACTTACTTACTACTACTTACTTACTTACTTACTTACTTACTTACTCTTACTTACTTACTTACTTACTTACTTACTACTTACTTACTTACTTACTTACTTACTTACTTACTTACTTACTTACTTACTTACTTACTTACTTACTTACTTACTTACTTACTTACTTACTTACTTACTTACTTACTTACTTACTTACTTACTACTTACTTACTTACTTACTTACTTACTTACTTACTTACTTACTTACTTACTTACTTACTACTTACTTACTTACTTTACTACTTACTTACTTACTACTTACTTACTTACTTACTTACTTACTTACTTACTTACTTACTTACTTACTTACTTACTTACTTACTTACTTACTTACTTTTACTTACTTACTTAACTTACTTACTTACTTACTTACTTACTTACTTACTTACTTACTTACTTACTTACTTACTTACTTACTTACTTACTTACTTACTTACTTACTTACTTACTTACTTACTTACTTACTTACTTACTACTTACTTACTTACTTACTTACTTACTTACTTACTTACTTACTTACTTACTTACTTACTTACTTACTTACTTACTTACTTTACTTACTTACTTACTTACTTCTACTTACTTACTTACTTACTTACTTACTTACTTACTTACTTACTTACTTACTTACTTACTTACTTACTTACTTACTTACTTACTTACTTACTTACTTACTTACTTACTTCTTACTTACTTACTTACTTACTTACTTACTTACTTACTTACTTACTTACTTACTTACTTACTTACTTACTTACTTACTTACTACTTACTTACTACTTACTTTACTTACTTACTTACTTACTTACTTACTTACTACTTACTTACTTACTTACTTACTTACTTACTTACTTACTTACTTACTTACTTACTTACTTACTTACTTACTTACTTACTTACTTACTTACTTACTTACTTACTTACTTACTTACTTACTTACTTACTACTTACTTACTTACTTACTTACTTACTTACTTACTACTTACTTACTTACTTACTTACTTACTACTTACTTACTTACTTACTTACTTACTTACTACTTACTTACTTACTTACTTACTTACTTACTTACTTACTTACTTACTTACTACTTACTTTACTTACTTACTTACTTACTTACTTACTTACTTACTTACTTACTTACTTACTTACTTACTTACTTACTTACTTACTTACTTACTTACTTACTTACTTACTTACTTACTTACTTACTTACTTACTTACTTACTACTTACTTACTCTTACTTACTTACTTACTTACTTACTTACTTACTACTTACTTACTTACTTACTTACTTACTTACTTACTTACTTACTTACTTACTTACTTTACTTACTTACTTACTTACTTACTTACTTACTTACTTACTACTTACTTACTTACTACTTACTTACTTACTTACTTACTTACTTACTTACTTACTTATCGAAAATATTAACCCAAATTATAATTATTTTGTTTACTTTAAATATGTATTTAACTTGTCTCAGATAAATTATTGCGTCAATTATTAAATCAAGAGTTCTCGAATCTACGAATCGAAATATTGCATGTA